CAATTTAAATCATATAAACATGTATAAATCATTCATCTAGCATAGATATCAGGAACATAGATAATATACACACATAGCGTGTAACTTATAATAGATACTTCATATCTATGTGTAAGATGAAAGTAACTATGAACTCACCTTAGTAGCATGATTTGATAGAATCTAACTAGAAACAATCAGCGGTTCGTGATCATCGGGCTTGGGACAAGGAACGCCTTCTACAAACAAGAGAAAGCGAGAGAGAAGAAATTTGGTGTAATGATAGAATGGGTCGGACTTGCTATTTATAGGCTGTTTTGGGCCCTCTCACATTGTGAGAATCAATGCTCACGTCGAGAGACATGGTTGTATTATCTTGTAGACTTGTCATATGTGTTTCTAGCTTCGAAAGGTGTTCGGATGACTTCTCACGTTGTGAGCCCTAAACATATCACTTTGTACACTTTCCATCTGCATTCTAGCCTTGAAAAGTGTCCATTTGACTCCTCGCGCGTGAGAAAACATGCTCTCATCGTGATCCCTGACAGATTAAGGTTTCTGCCATGTGTCATGCTCTTAAACAACTACATCTTTGAAAGGTCACGCCTTTTGCATACGAGCTCCGTCTTTGAAGTTATTTATATCCATGCGTAAGTGGAAACATATTCTACAAATTTATTTTAGATCACTAAGGCTAAAAAGTACTTTAATAAACTCACTATTTACGATTCCTGGTGTCGTGTCGGTTTTGTCGCAAAACTTCGACAGGTCATAACTTCTTCGTTATAACTCGGATTTCAGCGTTCTTTATATGTACGGAACCCTTGTAACATATACTAAAGATTACTTAGGATTATTTATTCTAAATAATCCAATATCAAAAAGTCATTTTTTTGACGCTTATTGTCTCCAAATTGACTAGCCCGAATCTGCAGGCGTTACAATTGTCTCCCCCTTAGGATGATTAAGTCCAGGAATCATCAACGAAATGGGGTTTGTATAATGGATCCATACATTATCTCTTCATCCTAGGTAATAACCATAACTTCTATGTTCCTTCGAATGAGTATCTAACTCTTGGACTTCTTGACTGTAGGTGGTGCTCAATCTTGCACCCGCTCTCTATCTCACGTTGGACTTTCAATTGTAACTTTCGAGTTACAAAATAAATCCTTATTGGAGACTCCTTCTTCTTCTTAAAATACTTAAGATAATTTCTTTCCTTCGCTTTTTGTAACAGACCGATGGGTTATGTTCTAATGACCTCTCATCAGATGATGCAACACTTAGACTAATGTCTTTTAGAGTCAAATTCCAGAATGAAAGATACCTTCCTTCATGATCTAATGTGATATAATCACATTCTAGTAAGTAGTACTTCTAGCTACAATCTCTTACAAGGATCGCGATACTTCTATTGATCGCTTCGATTTCCTTTCACTTCAATCTCCTAGCTTAAGTTAGATGCTACATCGATCTTGGTTTTCTGAACCACGTAACATACTTGTCTTAGTCGGACTTGATTTGATATGACCACTAGGGTCGGAATAACAATCATCTTCTTAGTCATCACCGAAACGATGGTAACGACATACTTGAACAAAATGGAATCAATTACTAGCTTCATGGTAACCTTGTGACTTTCTCCGATCCAAGTGTAAGTTATGTGCTTCCGGTAGTATAGGCATCTACTACCATTCACACCTACTCATACTCATTCCAAGTATTTTCTCGCAATTCTCCAAGTCACAATACACGTATTTCACATTGTTATTTAATAAATTGAATAACATAACTAAGGTTTATATTATTTCTTGAAATGATTACATGGATGTTCAAGTTCACCCTACACTAGGCCTCTTATAATAGGCTACACCACATGATTCTATTTATATGGCTACTTCATATCGTGATCTTAGGATATATAGATCCTCGATCTCGATCTCTTGCATTGTCACCTGCTTCATCAAGGATCGTCTGGAATGCTCTTGCGTTTGGCTTTGACGGCGCATTTTTCCTTACAGCTTCAATCTTCTTTGGGTAGTTCTTCGAAATATGCCCACCATCTCCAAATTTGTAACACTTCCTATTGTCGAATGTACAATCTCTAGAATAGTGACCGGTCCTACCACACTTATAGCAAGTTACTTCTCCATCGTGTCTTCCGAAGTGCTTCTTCTTGAACTTCTCACACCACTTGGTTCCACCAGTACCTCCATACTTTTGGTCGTCCAGGTTAGACTTCATGAATCTTCCTTTCTTATCAGATCTTGAGGATGCCTCAATCTTCCTCTTTTTTTCCCCCTTCATATTTTTCTAGACCCTTTTCTCTTATTTGGGTCTCTACATTCTTAGCTATTCTAACAACTGTTTTCAAAGTAGTTGCCATTTTGATTGTTGGACCAAAGTCCGTTGGTAATTCGTTAGCAAATCTATTTATCTTGGAAAGTTCAAATTAACTAGCCTTAATCGGTGGGCATTACATTAGGTGGAGGTGCACTTGAGCTATTAAGAGAGTTTGTGGAATATGTTGACGTTGTTTGTGTTCCACTGTAACGGTTTGTTTTCAAGTGGAGGATTCAACAACATTGGATAGTCATAGATTCTGTTTTCTAGTGGTATCAACAAGATAATTCGGGGTCGGAAGGGTTTCGTATGGTTTGGGTTGTAAAGTGAAGTCATATTGACTGTGTTTCGGGATGGTTTTTCCTGTTTGGGAGCCGAATAGGTTATTGTATTTCTAGATTTCAGACATGGTAGTGATGGTTATTCTTCATTGGTTAAAGTTAGTGGGTCAAGGATTCATGATTAGTCAAGGTATGAGATTCTTACTAAGATTGGGTTTTAATTAAAGTATGGGAAGGCATTCGCCTGTCTGAGTCGACTTCTTACTTCAGATTGGGATTTTGGAACTGAATAACATGGGGTGTAGTAGGAAGCGATTTCGAGGACGAAATCAAATATAAGTGGGGGAGAATTTTAACACTCGTGTTCCAGACTGGTTTAGCCTGATAGTTATCAATGACCAAATGTAGAGTTTTGGGAAAACTCTGCATTACGACGTTGTGCAAGGATACCCACGACATGGCATCGAATAAAAATACACGAGATTTATTGGACTGTCCTGACGTGGTCAAGGGTTTCCACGATGTGGCAGTTGTTCTGGATCGAGCCCATGATTCTCATAGGGTTCCTTTCATATTTAAACCCCTCTAAGTCCTTCCTAGAGTTTATTACCAGCCTCCATCACTCTTTTAAGTTCAGAAACCCTAACCCTAGCCTCTATTTCTAATTTTTGAGCTCTAATGTGTGTTTTGGTGGTATTTTGAGGAAGATGGAGACATCTTTGAGATCGGTTTCAGTGAGCAAATCTCCCTATCTACTTTAAGCACATATTTGGACTCTTGTAAGTCCTCAAGATCTAATCTTTATGCTTTACATGTGTAGATCTAGCTATTTTGTCCCTAAATCTTTATATTCTTGATTATTGGATGGTTAGATCTCATAAAGTTTACAACTTTATGAATTCCCATGTTATTTAGGGTATGTGGTGCATTGGATCTGAATTATTAGTGAGTTTTGATGGCATGCTTGGATCTTTGGGTCAAAACCCCTCATTTTGACCTAATATGGATTTTTATGTTGTTAAAGGATGCTAGAAACGTTTCTGGAAATAGGGATCTAGTAGTCTTCAAGAGAAAGTGCTCAGTGGGTTAAGCAAAGTTATGTTTTTGCCTTATTTTCACCTAGAAGTTAGATCTCTATCTCTTGGACGGTCTAAAGGGATAAAGTTGGAAACTTTATCCATTTGGACCTTAGAATGGACCAAATAAGAGATTTGGAGCTCTTAAAGTTGGGGAAAATTGACTTAATGATTTAAGTTGTCCAGGCCGGTCCCCACGGCATGGTTTAGGTTGCCATGGTGTGGCGATTGGGTGGAAGACACCCGAGGCAAACCGGATAGACTGCCAGCAAGACGGTCCAGTCAGGCTGAAGACCCAGAGAGCTCTAGATAGGTTGTAGGCCCTACGAAGTAGTCCAATCAGGCTGAAGGCTCATATATGCATATTGTTATTTATATTGGTTATGTGTGTTACTTTAGGGTAAGTCACTAAGTTTTGACTTACAGTTTAAGTTTTATATTTCAAGTACTTCAGATAATCGGGGGAAAGCAAAGGGGTAATCTTACACATCCTTCCGTGATGGGTTTTGGAGATATTATGATACATTGATTTTGGAACATTTGTATTTGATCTTGGGTTTTTATGACTTGAGTTTGTTTGAATACAATGATTTCTCCAAAAATGAAAAATTTTATTGTGATTTTGGGATGTTATAGTGGCATCACAAAAACACAATTAAAGTAGTTAATTTTGGCTAGAATATCTCATAGAAAAAAACCAGTTAATAAGGACTTGTGTAAGTCTAAGAAGAATAAGTGGATGGGGGCTTGATAAAAAATTTTAGGAAAAACATATAAGGAGGCTATATATGCTTTGATAAGAAGGCTGGTTATGGAAAACATTCCGACACATTTCGGTTTTAGATTTAAGATATGCTTCTTCTTTTTTTTTTTTTTTCTCGCTATTTGTAAAGCTCATTATATGCAACGTTTCTATTCATTCCTTCGTTCTTCTCCTTCATAACAACAATTTAGAGCTCTTGTACCTCCCTTCCATTGAAGTTTATTCAAGTTTTCATAAGAAGTGTCGTTTATGTGGTTTTCCCAACTTTGGATTTCCACTCTATGTCTTGGTGTTCGATTGTTGTTGCTTTGAGTTTATCTTTTTACAACACCATTATGTTCATTAGTCACAACTCACAAATAAACAATCCCTTAAATATCTCTTTCGTGCATTGCTTTTTTAATCTCTTTGTGGGTCTCATATGTTCCCAACAACTCTAAAGGGTGAGAATAGTTGAAGATATATAGGTGATCAAGATTTTATATAAATGGTCTCATTTTGTAGAAGAATTAATAAGGTTATATGATCTTTTCCAAAAATCATTGTAAAATTGTTTCATAGTGAATCAAGCAACTTCGTTCCTTTAAGTACAACAACAAGAGCAATTGCTATAACTAAAAGCAAAATTATAATAGAAATACAAATCCATTTTCTTGACTTCTTCTGTAATTTCTTCACTTTCTCAAGGGTTTTATTGCCACTTTCCACATGATCTACCGCACTCGACACCTATCATCGAAAACAAATTTTGGATCTTTTTATTATAATTAGATAAAACTAAATTATTTTAGTTCGAATAAGACTATAAGAGTTACCTGTGCCTCTATGTTGTCTAGAATTTCCCCTTGTGAATCCACTAGAATAGCGAAATCTGAAAAGATCTGCAAACCCACCATCGAAAAAAAAAAAGATACTAAAATAAATTACATATCAATGCTTTTGTTCTTGACCTTATAAATGGCACCATGTTCATTAAAAAACTAACTCAAGTTGAGTTCTTGATCTACAAAACTTCATGCACACCTGTTGCAAATCAAGAAGCTTCCTTTCTACTTCTATTACTGCATCATGTCGTTCTTGAATCTCTGCAAGTGTATCGATCACCTGCAGATGCACAACTATTGGGAAAATGGTCGCAAAGATCCCCAACAAAAAAATAATATAGAAAACTGAACACAAAAAGATACGTGAAAGACTGATGAAACAATCGACCCCAGAGAAAAAAAATCAAAATACTTAAAAAGTATATCTCAACATTACTAAAGAAAAATAGAAAACTAACCTGACCTCGTCCTTGTTCTTGAATCGCTTTTTGGTAAATTTGTTCGCTATTTCCTGTCTCTATTAGTTGATCAATTGTCTAGTGAAAATAAGTAACAATCAGCACACGTGCCTAAATTACCATTTTTAAAATAAGTTTTTAAGAAAGAAAGATACCTCACCTCTTCATCGGCTCTAGTTCCAGTTACTAATAACAATTAAAGAAAAAAGTTACATTTAAATGGATAATATGCATGCATGCATGTTTATGGTAAGTTAATTACCTGTGAAGACGCGTCTTTCAACAACCTCACGATACTCTTGATGTATGCTTTCTCTTAGACTCTGAAATCCTGTCACCTTTTCTTTAAATTTCTTTTTCAAGGATCTGTAAAAAATGATCGATGTCAAAAAGTAAAAAGTATAAGATAATAATATAAGTATGTAACATGATTTATTACAGTGTAGTTGATGTTCTTGATCGATCTACTCCAGTTCCTTGTCCGCATCCAGGTTTTTGTCTGTTGGCTAAATTCTTACTCCAAAAAAATAAAATAAAAGATTTAGTAATTATGAATTCAAGACCATTAATATTATTATAAAGTATAAACAGTTCATTCTCTAACCTCCTTGTCAAGTTCCTCGATTTTTGATTTAATAAAACGAGCAATTCTTCCAACTTCGTCAACATCATTCTCCATTCGTTTCTTGATCGCTATCATGTTCATGAAATATTAACAAAAAAGTTAAATACTTCTATAAAAAGATATTTGAAGGTTACCTTTCATGGCTGCAGCCTTGGTTACAGATCTTGATTCTTC